AGCTGGCTGGCTGTACCATGTAACCGTTGTGAAATCTTTTTTGTTTTGATTAAAGTTATATTACCTGAGGACTTCTGTCTGCGGCTTATGTAATATTAACTGTTCCCGTTTAATCAGAGACTCATGAATACCAACTAGAGTAGGGACAGGTTAAGGTGAGGCAGGAAGCAAGGGACTGACGGATCCTGACGTGAAATGGGTTTGCAGTTTTCCAAATTGGAGAACTGGGACTCCCTGGATGAGGTGGGGAGAGAAAGGGATCCCCAGGCACATGCAAATTAAGAACTTCTGAGGCTGCTGCCCCTTGTTTTTACAAATGACCGGCCATGGGGATTCAACATTTTTAACAGTCGGGAGACTCATTTGGTAGTACAATATCATAACCTGCCTTTTCCTTTTATTAGTAATGCCGTGTTCCATAAATCAATCAGGGGGATAAATGTGGCAATTTGTTAATGAAAATACAAACGGAATTAGTTAGGCGTCCGCCATCTCTGTCAGTCACGCATATTGTTCGGCTGGGCCGTTAGCGTGGTATTTGGTGTTACGGGAATCCAAGCATCCGCTGGCAATTAAGCTTGGGATTTTTGAGTTTTACTTTGTGAAGCCTTTGTCAAGGTGGAATACGCCCGGAATGGTGGGCTTTGATTGCCAGATATTGTGGGACGACAACCTCGGGGTGATTTTAGGGGGAAAAAAAAAGAAAAGAAAATGACCCTTCTTCTCTCGCAATCCCTTAATAATAATGCACTCAGAGGCACGCATTGAGCTCCCCCGGGTTAACTGTGTGATGATCACTATTCTTTTAATGTTTTACATTAATCTCCGTGTTTTCTATTAGTGCCAGCTACTGCTTATGTCTCTCAATGCCACAATCAGGGTATTTTTGATATGTTGTATTACCCTAATCGCCAAGAAGTATGCCCCAAACTGATTAATTCTAGAATGATTAAAACATCCTATGCAATTAATTCATTTATTGTTGCTGCAGTTAATTGAATATTTGATGATTTAAAGGCACCCTGATTATCTCCTAAGATATGTGTTTATCACCAGGCAGATGATGCATGCGTGGTCTCTCTGTGGCCGCATGGGGTGGCAGGCGGTACCGTCACGTGCAGAGAGGGCAGGCACTTGCGAGGGCTCTCAGTCAACTCGCCACCTGCCCGCCGTGAGCCTGCCTTGCCTGGCCCTCAGAGGACAGCATCGGTGCCCCGCATGAGAGGGTCGTCGGGGGCCAGGCGGGAGAGCACAGGCCCCCCGATGCGGCGCGCAGCCTGCTGTCTGCTCTGGGAAGAGGGGGCGGAGAGGGGGACGCGAAGGACGCTGTGGCTCTGAGTGGCTAACTTGCGCTTTGTGGACTATCTGAATACTCAAGAGTGGATTGAAAGCGAGGAGAAGGTGGCTCGGGAATTGAGCAGTTCTACTCCCGCTGTCACCACTAGTGTTAGTCTCCTTTGCCACCTGTCTGAGTGACTCCTCCAGAAGTACTGAGAGTGGGGTGTGTGTGTGTGTGTGTGTGTGTGTGTGTGTGCGAGAGAGAGAGAGAGAGAGAGAGAGAGAGAGAGAAGTGGGGGAGAGTGGCACTGGGCAAAATTTCGGGGCCGAGCCCCAGCCTCAGTGCAGCTGTCTTCAGTGTGCAGAGTGACCCCGGCGCGCAGCTCTGCAGGGGGCTCAGAGACTGAAGTGGCCTCAGGTGATCCCTGGCCTCCCACTCCCATGTGGAGTGAGGACTACGGCGGGGACCTCGGCGGCTGGGAGCTCCTGTCAGACATGGCTCTGTCCGTGAACCCGGTAGGTACCCCTCTCCCCGACACCTAAGCCCGACTTCCCGTTCCATGTTGTCTGTTCCCTGTGTAAATGTTTGTCTCCCCAAGTTGCGTGGAGTCTGGAAGCCGGAAATTATGTTGTCTTCGGCGTCTTCAAACCCTCCCCCTTGGCACCATCTTGAGCACAGTGTGAGCTCAGTCAGGATTTGTTGTCTAAAGAAAGAAATGCGAGAGCTGATGAATAGGCGGTCGACGGTGAATGCGATCCCATTACCCGTGTCACGACTACCTTACAATGTATGTCCCAGTGGGTCTCTAATTGTTTGTTTTGCCGTCCCATCTAGACGTTTAACTCCGAGAGAAAGAGGCCAAATCTCATAGCTCTTTGTATCACCAACCCCCCACGCCTAACACTATTCTAGGCGCAGAGGAAGTGCTCGCTGGTGATTTCAAAAGCACGGGCAGGGGGAAAAGCATTTGCTTCTCAGATGTAGTTGCCCGGCGGTGACAACAGCTGTGGGACAGGGCTAGACGAGTCTGCGGGACTAGGGACTCCATGCCAGTGCTGGATTCCACTACTTTCTGAAACAGGAAAACAATCGGCGCACTCGCTGTGGATGCGTACTTCTTTCACTGCCCTTGTCTGTAGAGTCCTTCCCAATCCTGAGTGCTAGGCACCCCAAGAAGTCATTATTAGATTTGCTGCAAAGCCCCAGAGTCGACAACTCTTCCTATGTTGACACCACTTCCCCCATAAGGAAACGGATGTTTATAATGCCAGGTGTGGGAATGATATGTACAGTTGGCAAGAGTGAGTCAGGTGTTGCCTTGAAGAGACGAGAAGACTAGACTTTGTAATGAAGCAGTAAGAAGAACAACAGAAACCCTGTGAGATTCGAAAGAAGCGGTGTTGTTATTATTATGGTGATTTTATTTTATTCTACTTTATTGTACAGTTGGGAAAACTGGAACTCAGAGGGGCCCTACCCAAGTGGTAGGGGCCAAAACTCCCACCCAGCTCTTTATAGACCCACAGGCAAGTGTCTGTGCTGCCTGCATATTGCTGATATTTGTTTCTCTGTAGTTTAGAAATTAATCTTATGGGGATTTTTTGGCGGGGGGTTGGGGGGTGGGGGGAAGAGAGCCAAGCCGTCTTTATGAGAGAGGGACATACATGTTGAGCCCAGATGGCACACACTGATATGATGCAACAGTGACAATGAAGATCTAATTCTGCTATAATCATGTTGACCTTTGTCAGAGGTTATTTGTTAGAAGTTCAAGGATTGCCTTGGAAGATACAGTTGCTGGAGCACTGAGCAATGGAATGAGGTCGTATTTGCTGTTAAGATTAATCACTTGAGCTCTGGAATCCTGTAGTATGTTAGACCAGCATCACCCAGTCTGTGTTCTACAAGCACTCATTCTATGGGATGGTGGTCATCGTTGATTGGGAAACAACAATCGCGAAAATTAAAAACCCAAGAATTCAATGATCAAGAAAGTTGGGAAAGTGTTGCATTAAACCAGTTAGACAGGTGTCTCAGAGCCTTTAATTTGCATGGTGGATTTGCTCGCGGTGGGGGTGGATTGCAGCATTTCCCACACTTCTTTGGACATGGACACTTTCATTTTGCACACCTAGTGTCTGTGGGATGGTGTCTGTGGCACTTACTGCAGTCACGGTGGTATGTTAACTCTGTGATTCCTCATATCCCCCTTCCTCCTGAGTCTACGAACTCCATGAGGGAGGCAACTGTCTCTCCTCTTACTTTTCATAAGCCTAGAGGCACAGTCCCTGGCCCTCAAAACTTTGTGTTGCGTGAATGAATGAATGAATGAATGAATCAACTGTCCTGGGCCAACCTACCCGTGGTTCCCTGTTGGAAACCCATATCGAAGGTCCTTTAGAAAGTGTGCCTGGCCCACTTTTTCAGTCTTTCCTTCTACTGTTCTCTCTACCCAGTACTAGAATAGCATTGTTCTGAGAAGGGTAACTGAATAATTTGCCCTCCAAACTGGGACTTTAGTAAGGGCGAACGGAGACACTGGCGATAATTCCTCCAGCGTTACAGGTGTAACATCCCAGATGACGGACGGCCCCCTCATTATTGGTGACTCTTTCTCAGCCTGCCTCCCCCGGTAGGGATTTCATGCTCCTTTACTGATGGTTATAGCATGTATTTTTATAAGGTCGAGGGACACTGGAGCCATATATTTTCCATTTTCCCCAAATACGCGTGTGCTCATACTTCAGTCTTTCGGACTAACTAGGGGGCTATCGCTTAACTGCCCTTGCAAGAGATCGGGACATATAGCCTCTGTGGCAGTGCCGCCTTTACAGGGCTGACCTTTCCCTTCAAGGCAGTGAATTAAAGCGACCAGATGTTCTCCTCGCCAGAACTGGAGGGAAGTGGAAGGTGACAAATGGTGAAGGTGTGAAAGAGAGAGGGATGTTGGGGGGTGGGTGGTGCTGTAACTCAACACGAGTGACGTCATGCCTGGCAGACCTTTCCCCGGGGGGTTGTCCCGTGCCCAAGTCCCCCGTCAGGCACTGCTTTACAGCTGGTGTCTCACTTTGGCGTCGGACTTCTTGCTTTCACTGATTATGGAGATCGGGAAGATGTCACGCTTGGAAAGACGGCTCATGGGATTCGCTTTGTATGTTTGTGAGATTCTTTCTCTCCGAGTGCCAAGGCAAGCGTGCGGTTTACACGGGAGTTTGAACCTTAGTGTTTTGGAGAAGAATTGTAGGCGTCCGGTTGGACCCCGAAATTAAAAGAGAACTTAATCATAGAGGTGTTTCCTATAAGCCTCATCTTTAAAAATATGTAATTATGAAGAATATATTAAACTCTGTCAGTGGGTCAGATAGGCCTTAAAGATGGGGAAGCCGAGCCCCTTCTTTGGATAGATGAGCAAAGTAAAGCCTGGATGCACCGGGGGAGGAGAGGCCAGCATCCCACAGAAAATCAGTGACAGAACGAGTCACCCTTTCTACAGTCTTTCTGCACCTTCCACTGTGGTCTGCCTGCTTCGTGAAAGTAAAACAAAATTGGCCACTAGCAGATACTTTCTGCTTTGTACTAACTAGGGGAAAAACCCACATCGATAGCTGTATTTGCTTTCTTTACTGTTTTTCCTGCGCTGTAAAATATTGTACAACGAGCTTCTCTGAGAAGAGCTAGATCGTGCTTAAGGTTTGTTTGTTTGTTTTTTATTTTATTTTAGGTAAGCCTTCCCAGCGATCCAAGCTGTGTTGAAGAAATCTTACGGGTGAGTTTAAACCTTTATTTCTGTGCCTTTTAATAACGAAGCAATGGATCTGCTTAACTAATTACTTCGCTGTTTCGGCGGGGGGGGGGGGGTATCCTGATGGAGAAGTCTCATTTTCCACTTTGAAGACCCCTCTGCTCCCATCTCCTGGTTCAGTTCTCCCCTGTCACCTGTCCCCCAACCCCAGCCAAGCTAGTCTTGTTGTCTCACCAAGCTTCTATTTCATTCTCGTGCCTTTCTGGCTCTTTCTTTTGAGACTCCCCCCCTTCTTCAGGAAACTCTCCCTGTTCAGGCAGCCTTCTCTCACTCTGGGCATTCTGCTCTCTGGGACCTCCAGTCTCAACTTCATTGCCGCTTCCGGCTCCTTTGTGGGTGGAACATGGTTATGGGGCTTCTGACCTACGATGAGGGGGCAAGATGCCAGAGTGGGGAGTGAAGGCAGGTTGTAGGAAATGTTACTGATGGGGGGGTGTGGGCGTAAGGATGGCATGGAGGCAGCACAAAGTTGCAAAAGGTGGTAGTGACCCCTCCCAAAGTAGATGATTAAACCAGAGGAAACCCCAGAGCCCAGCCTGCAAACTGCGTCTCCTGTCTCTGGCTGTTAGCATCCTAAGAACTGCAGTCGTGACCGTGAGTTCCAGGGCCGGCTCTACTGTTTGTCACTCTGTGATTTGGACAGAGAACTTCATCTTTCTCAGTCTCCGTTCCTCGTCTGTGAAAGAGGATAATAATACCTGCCCTGATTCCTTTATAAGCTGCCAAGTGGTATATAAGTGCTCGTTATTATGATAAATGATGATCCGTGTGGCCATGAGAAAACCACGCAGGCTTTCCGCTGAGGAAAGACAACAATCCGTGTGCTGTTGAAAATTCCGCACGTCCTTTCCTCACTTTCCAAAGTGAGGATGTCGCCCCCAACTCTCCCTGAGACTCCCCGTGGTAAGCGCCTTCTCAGCAGCCCAGTGGTCCAAGCCAACCCTGTGACGGTACAGCCGAAGGAGTAATAAAGAGGAGAAAGCTGTTGATCATCACGTTCACCGACCACCTGATTTCACCTGTTGTGGATATTTGCGCACTCTTTTCAGCCCAAGAGCGTTGTCACTGGCTTATTAAAGACACGAGTCCTATTACTCCCATCAGAGATGAGACTGCTCTTGAGAAATCTACGCTTGCTCCTTTCATTGGACGGACACGGGTCAGATACGGCAAATCTTTGCCCTCCTTAAAAGAAAGGTAACACAGCAAGCAACCGGTCTTCCTCAAGTCTCTACGGCAGTCGTGCTTTGCCAGCTGAAGTCAGGAGTCTTTTCTGAACTCCCGAAGGAATGTCGGACTCATTTCAACATCGCTGCGTAGTTGGCCGCAGGTGGAATCTCTCCTTAAGAGCAGCCCGGCCCTGGTGCCTGCGTGGCCCACACGGTGCCTGAGCGAGGGGAGCGGGGTGAACGAACACCTGGCAGAGGCTGGAGGAGCCACTTAGAGACAACAACAGAATGTCGCTCAAACATGGAAAGAAAAGAAGCAGGTTGCCTTAATAAGCTCATAAAAGATAGCACCCTTTGAGAAAGTAACAAAAGTCCTTCTGTTCTTGAGAGAGAATCTAGGGAAACGTCTTTTTTTTTTTTTTTGAAGGGCTCTAGATTGTATAGAATTCGTTTTTTTTTTTCTTTTTAATGGCACCATTAATGAGTGGGCTTTCCTTTATTGAAGAATGGCATGTTTCATCACCCATGCTTAGAATAAAAATAAGCGTTTTGAAGTTCGTGTCCCAAATTTCATGACTAATTCTTCAATTTGTACAGACCACTCTATGTGGCACAACAGAGTGCTGGCTGGCCATTTTTGTTGTCATAGTTTCGTGTTCCTGTTTGTTTGAGACACTCTGTGTCCCCTTGCTGTCCATCTGCCTCCTTCTCGGGGGGCACCTTTTTCTCTCTTTCTCTTTCTCTTTCTCTTTCTCTCCTCCTCTCCCCGACACCCTGAGCGCTTTTCAGACAAGCTGAGCCAAGCGCAAAGTCATGTTCTCCCTCACTGAGGTCCAGCCGTGTTCCATCACTCTCTAGCTGTGTGGCTTTTCGATCTCTTCATGTAGTAACCGGGGGGGGGGGGACTACTCACCCTCCCACCCCACCACCCACCTGCAGAGATCTTTAAAGATCTCTCCCAACTGCCCCACCTCACTGATGCCCCCTTTTTGCCCTCTGTAGCCCGACAGACTTCTTTTATTAACCAACTAGAACACGGCTGGCCTCTCTCAGGCCCTCCGTCCCCAGGCAGTGGAAATACCTTTCCCTAATGCATTTTCTTAGAGCCTCGTTTTCCAAAACGCCGTTTCAAATTCAAACCAGTTGGCTTCCTTTGAAAGTTCCTCTAACCATTTCTCTGATAATGGCCTCGGCTCTCCTTTATACCGATGCCTTCCACTTCTCTTTCTTTGTGCGCCTGGCTCTATGCTGTCCTGTAGGCCACCTCCTCGGGTCTTCCAGGGCTGACTCGACCGGCTGGGATGACCTTAGCTTTCCATAGCACATGACTGCCTTTGAAAGCACTTGAACCCCATTATCTTATTTTGATTATAGGAAACGTGGTGCAGGCCCTAATTATTTCAAGAAATTGAGGCCCGGAGAGGTTACAAATGATCTGTAGCAAGGGTGAAGCCAGTGTACGGCAGAAAGCAGAAATAGAACCTGGTCTTTGCTTTGCACTTCACCACACTGTCAACTGCCCCATCACAGACCTACGGGGAGAATCTCTGGATTAAAAAAACAAAAAACAAAAAAAAACAAAAAAAACTGCCCCAGATGCTGGCTGACTTAGTTCTAGCAACTTTAAGAATATCAACAAACCAGTATAGTTGGAGCAGGTCTCAGGAATTCATTCTCTTTCTACCATTGTTGAGATGTTCAAATCGCACTTCAAATAATAAAATAACAACAGTAAAAACCCCCTGCCACTAATACAAAATCATATCAATGTGCCACTTCTAGGCAGAGTACTTGAGCACATTAAGTCATGTAGTTTTCACAACAGTCCTGAAAGATTACATTATTAGTCACGTTTTGCAGAACAGGAATGAGTAGAACCTATCCGTTCATTCTGTTCCTATCGACGTACCTGAATCCATTCTGATTCCACGAGCCCCCGGCTCCTTTGTGATTAACGTGGCAAATTCAATTAGGCCAAAATAATTTTATGTAGTTTTTCAAACAGACCAGAATTCACGAGCCGACAGCACCTTTCCTCCAACCACCCTCCTCCTGCAAAACAAGCCGTATAAATTCACTTGTCTTTGCTCCTTGACAAGTATATTATTGTGTATTATAAATTTTATAAATCAGAAACGTAAAGGCAACAACCTGTGCCGCACAGCCCGGACCGCATCCCTGCTTCCGTCAGCATGCCATTTTCTCTTTAGAATCAAGCTACCCTCGAGTCCAAACAGAAATGAAAAAGAACAATAACTCTGGCCCTGATGGTGGTGTTTTGCAGTTACAATTCATCTATCATATGAGGGACTCCTAAGCTGCTCATATGTAATAATACGGGCAGCGGTAGCGGCTTCTTTTCTGGGCTCTGCGGGGTTTGATGGGTCCTAGAGTAATCATTTCTGGAAGAGTTAAGCCGAGGAGAGCAGCATGCACTAAATGCTAGCCAAGGATGGATGTTCAATGATTATTTGTTTTGCAGTAGCGTGATTTATTTGTTCCTTGCGAGAATTTACTTAAAAATATCAACAAACTATCAATTAAGTCCTTTCTCGAGTCAAAAACGCAGATAGAGCGCTTCTCTTAGATTTGACGCTGAACAGATTGTGTTTCCTAGCAAAGTACCTTCAGTAGTGGATAATTTCATAGTCTAACATCTGTAAGGGTAATTCACTGTTTATGACGAATGCTGAATTTGCTAGCTAAGATTTAGGGAACTTGATTTGATAAACTGTATCATCTTACAGATTTCTCCCTGCCATATGGATCAGGTTGGTAAACACCGACACGGGTACCTCTTTGGATTACGGCATGATCTGTGTTTACAGCATTCTAAATTACGGCAATTCCACGTATTGGGCCTGTGTTTAAGTGTACAGTTTCAGCATGGAAAGATCTGACCAAATAATTACAGGATGACCGTGTACAGCACTTGCTAGTTTTTGCTTTGAAAGGGGAAACAAATGAAGAAGCCCATCTTAAGAATGAGAAAGAAATGGACCAGGGAGCAAAATTGGTCAATTATGTCTGAAAGGAAATTTGATTGTATTATCATAACTATGCACCATAATCAAGCACCTTTCAGTAGAATTTCTTTGATAAATTTAACCAATAATTAGGCAATTGATTTTATATCCTGTCAAATTAATGTATAAATAATGTTCAAATTGGCATCATGCAAACTACTTTCTGTATAGCTGCCTTAAATACTAATCCTTCCAGAATGTTTCAAAAGGCATCCATCCTATTCTGGTGTGGACTTTTAAAATTACAGTTTCTTGCAATAGTAATGTAGTGTTCCATCCAAGAAAGACAACAATTGCTAAATGTAATTTAGACTATAATTAATGTTAACCTCAACGGAGTCAAATAAATGAACTAACTAATGATCACACCCTCTGCTATTCTGATGACTAGCTCTTACCTAATGACATTGGGAAATATGTAAATTTGTCAGCAGGTGAAAATGCCCTTGACTGGGTAAATTATGTGGAGTATTACCTTTTCTGAAGCTAATTCAAAGCACTAATGGACTTAATGCGTAGCATGCATATGTGAGGTGAGCTCTGTGTGGGAGCAAATTCTCAAACACAAACCAACCCAGAAGAAAGATGCTAAATTTAATTATAACAACTATTACACGAACAGTGTAGGTAAGCCATCCAGTGGGCTTCCACATGCTGCACTTAGAGACTGTCAAGCAGTTTAAATATTTTCATGTGGAATCTGGGGGGTTGCAGCTAGTGTATGATGTGAATTTTAAATGATTATACAGACGTCATTGGGAAAATGAGT